CATGATTCAGATGTCGTTTATGCAAAATCAGCAAAATGTAAATAATATCAAATTGTGGCAAGAAATTCAATGATTAAATAGCTAGTACAAGAAAGAATAAAATGGTTACTACCTGTAAATACACCTTCAAAACACCACCACCAAAATAATCAAGAATAAAAAAAAAAAACGGGAACGCGTGTGCCTTCCGTTGACCTCGTCGCCATCTTCTTCTCATTCTCCCCTAGCTTTGTTACGAAAATCCCCTAGTATTCGGCATTTGCGCAAAACGGTCGTTGGTTATATACAGAGCATATTATATTTTTGTTTCAAATGTAAACGTGTGTTGCCTAACCATCAGGGTGGATTATCACAAGGAATACTCCTGTATTCCGAGCGTCGAGCGAGTCAATTTACTCCGCTCGTCCTTTGTCTTGTCAATCCATACAAGTGCTCCGACGTTTGTCTTCAGCGTATAGTGGCGTTCGTCCAACTACGGACGCCTAGACTACGGCGAGGCACTCTTGCTCGTTGGTATGATACCGACTTATACAAGGCACTGGCATACTCGAGGATATCCAGGGGTCGGTTCTTGGCATAGGACAGCGCGCGGCGCTACCCTTACTGCTGGGTCGGTTTGAAATTCGAAGTTAGGCCGGCCCCGCTGAAGAGGGCCGGTGATGGTGTGTTTGAGGTCTTGGAAGGGTCGTTCGGCATCTTTGGAATGGAGCGTTTCGGTTCAGGAGGTTGTCCAACGGTGTCTGAATCTCCGCGCAACGTGGTATGTATTCTCGCAGCCAGTTGGCGAGGCCTAGGAAACTACGAAGCTGTTTCCTAGAGGTAGGTTTTTCTGCCGCGCGAATGCTTCTACGTGGTCGGATCGAGGTTTGTTTCCTTCGGATTGAGTCATTCGATGGTCCGTTCCCCGAAACGGCATTTTCCCAGGGAAACACGAAACGGGTGTTACTGCAGTCTCTGCATTGTTAGGCATAGGTGGCGGTGTAACGAAGCATTCGGAGTGTATGATTCGAGTTTGTCGTTTGCGAGGACCACCCTGTATATTAACGATTGGTTTGGGCTTCGTTACATAAAAAACCGGAAAAACAAGTTTAAGGGCCGGTATTATAAAAGCACAGTTTAAGCGGAGATTAATCAATCGGCGATTGAACGTCAAACCAAGATTGAGTGTGGCTGCGTATTATAAACACCGTTGGAAAAGCGTTTGGTGAATCTCCGTTTGAGTTTACGATCCCTAGGATGGTAACACTGTGGGCGAACCAAGGACCAATCAGAGCGCAGAATTTTCAGTGGCCGATGCATCAGCTGACAGGTGATGACGTTGTTTACGTTCTTCGCACCGATCGCGCCTGCACCGTTCGTTCTTTTCGTTTCTGTGCCATTTGCCGCTGCCGCTGTGACTGTGTTGATCTGTTCATCGCCTTGCGAAATCGTTTTACATAGCGCTATTCTGCCTGCCACTGTGCCAATGACAGACAAGGGAAAAAGCGAGTGGCTTTTACGGACGCGGACGCCCATCAGCAAGCGGACTGCGTTCAGTCATATTTGAAAATAAAGGGACAGACCACAGCCGTCTATAATTACAAGCCGTGCTGAGAATTATGGCAACACTGCATGGTAGGCCGATTTCCGGTGTATTTTATGTGTGTTTTGGGTGTAATATTGCTTTTTACCTGTTTTAACAGAGCGAGATTGCGACAATTTGTGTTACTCCGTACGGAATGAACAGAAATTATTATTCAGGTAAGTTGCTAAACGAAATATATCGATTTATTGTCATAACCTCTAAAGCAGGCTACTCCTTAGTGGACCCTTTACAAGCACTTGTATTTGTTCAAAGTACCTGTACAAGCTCAAATATGACCTACACACTACGTGGTACGTAAGTACGGTAAGTGTTTATCGTGAAAGAATACAATAATTATTTGATTAGTTGGTATTTCAGATATTCTAGCACGGACATGTCAAGTCGATTTTCTGAAGGAACCTTCCGACTTATTCCCAGGAGTTCACGGTACGGGAATTTGAAGTCTACGGGGCTCCCCTCTTTAAAAGCTTCGTACCTAGACCCACTGTACCGACTGGCTTAAAATCTGCCATTCCGAATCACACCTGGTCGTTGATAAAACCTCGCTGATGCACATCGATTTACTGTCCTTTTGCCGAAATTAAGTGCCCAAGCATGTGCTTCACCTCGACCTCTTTCGACAGAAGTTCACCAATTTCGGAGATCTCGATGGAAAACACATTATCATGCAGTTACCAATTTACAGCGTTCCGAATTTTAACGTCAAATAAAAATGTTATTATCCATTTTTGTAAATAAATTAAATATATGTACAATTGTAAGCTGCGTAAGTATCTTTCTTCTGTATTAAAACCACCAAGGCGAAACACATGAGAGAGGAAAAATGCAATTTTTCAAGAGCAACAAGACGCCATTAAAATGATATCGGCCCACCGATTGACGTTCGGACAACGTTGTCAAACTTCTCATCATGGCTTGTAATTATAGACGGCTGTGGACAGACGCCTCTACTACCAAGAACAAGGTTATGCATCAGGATATCATCAGATATAAGTTTTTTGTTTGTATCTATATCCCTAATCATTCTCTGTGAAAAACCTCACAGGTAATGAAGCTGGAGCTGGTGACGACAGCCTCACCATTGATGGGCAATTATTAATTAATTAACACACCCAGTTGCGCAAAATGTTTGTTTGGGGGGCAATTAGTGCTCTAATCCTGTTTTCTAGGGACCTAACAATATCCTTGGATAACCGAAATCTCTGCCCAAATTCCTCTTCATCCCACTTGCCGAAATGATCAACACGTTCTTTAACATTTCTGCTCTCCTTCTAATGAACTCATCCTCTGCTGAAGAGTAGAAGAGTCATCGTCGCTTAAATGCCCACAGTAACCGACCTTTTGCACGTCCAATTCCAATTATTTCCTTTTCGTTATAAATCGAAACAATGACACAAAACAAAATAAACTGGTTATGATCACCTTAATTCTTTACACGTTCGCGCGCCTAATCTCCGTTTGGGCCCCAAAACCCGAGAAAATTGACGGATTGACTACAATCGGAGATTGAGCTCTGGTTAAGACTCAAGCGGCGTTTATAATACGCGCAATCGCACTCAAACTACGATTGAACGCCAATCTTCGTTCAAGCGGGCTTTATAATACCGGCCCTAAGAGATACACTGTTTTTGACATGATAAATCAACATGTCGGATGTTAATAAAGATTTTTTCGAAATCTGTCTTTTTGCTTCTTTAATGTTTGCTTAAATATTCTCTTTTGTTATCTTATGCTCAACTGTTTTAGTTAAAACATCTTTATTATTTATTTTTTCTGCATTTTTACCGCAATAAAAGCAATTCGAAATAAAATCGGATTATCTTGCTTCCTGATTCCTGAACAATTTCTTTTGTTCACTGTCTCTTCTTCCTGCTTGTTTTATAGCTGATGCAATTGCGTTGGGCCTGTTTAAAACTTGCAAAATCTGAAACAAGAACGTTAGTTTTACCGGCCGTTGGCCACAGCAAATGATTTGAGATGTAAAACCTGGATAAACTTTATGATGATTTTATATATCATTCCTGTAAAACGATCAACAGGGCCAGCTTAATCCCATCATCTGTAAAACAGGCAGGAAGAAGAGTTATTGAACAAAAACAAATTGTTTAGGAAGCAAAAGAATTCGATTTTACTTCGAATTGCTTATATTGCGGTAAAAATGTAGAAAAAATAAATAATAAAGATGTTTTAATTAAGGCAGTTGGGCACTGGGTAATAAAAGAACATATTTTAGCAACATTAAAGAGGGGAGAGAAGACAGATTTCAAAAACTTTTTATTAGCGCAGATCCAATACGTTAATTTATTTGCAAAAAAAGCTACTTACCTACTGTCAAAAACGGTATATCTTAAAACTGTTCCCCCAGTTTTTGCCGCTTTTCTATTGGAATAATATTTTTTATTTTTGATTATTAAAATGTAAGTCGTTACGAAAATTTTGCTACCCCGCGCACCTCTGTACGATGAAATAAAATAGATTTTTCATCCCTTTGAAAAATAGGTGGATTTTTTTCAGAAATCGTGAGATCTTGGAAACGGTTCAACTTTACAGGCCCAAAAAATTATCTTCTTTTTATCATAAAACAAGCTATGTTTCCTCCAAATTTCAAACCCCTACGACATTTTTTCGCAAAAATAAGAATAAAAAACAAAAAAAAAACAGTTTTCCGGTTTTTCTATGAAAATTGGAGGTTATGTGAAAATAGTGTAGATACAAAAGTTGCTCATTTTTTTAATCTCCATAACTTTTGCGTTTAACATTTTTGTCTAAAATTAATAGTTTTCCCACAATTTGCAAAACACCACTTTCCACCCCTTTCAACCCCCGTGATTTCACCCGCGGAAAAATTCAGCTGTTTTAATTATTTTTTCCCAATTTCTATTCATTTCACCTGCCTGAAAAACTCGGTTTCGCCCGGTAACTAATTTTTTTTTTAAATAAATTATTTTAGAGCTATTTAGCCTGGACTAACAATGCTGTTTTACAGTAAACTTGTGCATGTCGGACGGAACGTTGACAATTTAATCCATTATTTTGAAAACTGGCGGATCATTTTAGATGGCATGAGTCTTCCCTTTTCAAAGCCAGAGAGCGCAAACGGATGTTACACAAACAAAATGCGTCTAGTTTTCAATAACCAAGTCTATTGTGAGTCGTATAGTATGAAATATTGAGAATATTTCGAAATCTAATCTAAAGTACCACTTTAGGTTACCTACCTATATACAATATTGTTTCAGTAATCTAACTATGTAATTGTAACAGCTGAAATCATATAAATACTGATCCAGTTTTTATTTATTGTTATACTAATTTCTTTCTTGCATTTGGACAGATCATGAAGCATCTTAATATTTTGTTGGGTGTGGTTGCCCTATGCGGTGTTACTTCAGGTATGTACAACCTTCTAATAGACTAATAGAATAGGGCAACCACACCCAACAAAATATTAAGATGCTTCATGATCTGTCCAAATGCAAGAAAGAAATTAGTATAACAATAAATAAAATTAAAAATGACAAAATATTATTATATTACGTACAATTTGTAATCAGTACCTAATCGATATAATGTTAGGTCTACAGTGCTACAGTTGCGAAAGCCCATTCCCAGAAGACCAATGCCACACTGCAGGTACCAACCATGCTACGGTTACATGTGCATCAGGAGAAAATTACTGTGTTTCGTTATACTTCGAGGCCGGTAAGTACACCATACGTTAGTAATTCATAAATCTGTACCTACCTACTTAATGCATCTACTTGTTCTTTTTATATTATTGCAGCTGGTGAAACATTTGGCGTCAGAGCATGCAAGACAACCAATCTTTGCGACCAGAGTGTTACTTTTAAGTCGTGTAATTCCTGTACCACTGATTTATGTAACACGGCGGCCATAGTAGTTCCTTAGATTAGAATAATGGCATGTTCTAATGTTTGATCCTTTAATTACACAGTTAATACCTATACCTAATTGCATGTGAATGTTGGTATTATTTTACATATTTATGTAACACAATAAATACATTTTCCTTATCATAGTTATTCTGACCGCTTGTCTGGCATTCTTTGGTTTTTTATTATCACGGCCTACTCCTGTTTATAAACACGCACTTAATTAATGTGTAACTATTTTTGTAACAAATAAAAAATGGAATAACCTAAAAACCACGAAGTTTAGGCACAGAACACCCCTTATAAAAATTGATGAGCACACAAGAGACTATCGAATAGAGAAATAAAATAGTGGTAATTCCATTTGAAAAAAAATAGTTATATTTTGAAATTTGGAAACTTTACTATTTTTTATGAACACCCTGTATCACTAAATCCAATTTTTTCATTACCATTACCTTTTATTCAGATTAACATTATTGATCAAATGTATTTCTTAACTTTAAAATCATGTTCGCTACGATTTATCAAAGTAGGGTTTGCTTATGGGGAATTATTGATACTTGATGTCGCCGCCTCTCCCAGGATTCAGTCAACTGTCGTGGGCATGCGTCCCTGGTAGACACTAACAGGGGTGCATCTTCACTATTTTTGTTGTCATCTCGCTGGGTCGCGAAACAATGTGGTGGATTTTGAGGATTGAGGAGGTTGTGAAGGGGGGAGGGGGGGGAGGGCTAATTGGGTTTTATCCGATGCGCACGGGTACGGCAACAGCCTCGCCACTATAGAATATCTACCTTAGAAGGAACTCTGCTTTCACCGGGCGTTCATATTAGCATTACTATGATATTAGTTTCCGATGTCCCTATCCTTTGGTCTCGTTTCTTTCCCTCCTTTCCCCCGTGTCCCCTCCTTTCTTATTGTTGTCCTCTCCCTGCGCTGCTTTCTGTCCCCTCTTTCTCCTCCTCTTGGCTACTTGTGCTTGTCTTATTCCTCCTCCACCGGACCTCGCTCAGAACACGTCCGTTCGCCGCGAAACACGAACTCGAACCTACCAAGGGCTTCCTTAATGGGCAAAGGGACATCCTGTATATAACAAACATTATTCAAGTTTGCTTCATAGGATGTGAATTTTATTTCACATAGACACAGAAATGGAAAAAGTTGAATTGTCATTTTAATTTTAGTTATTTATTGTAATCTTAGTTAGCGATTGTTTAATTAATTTAATTCTATTTTTTGTTTAAAAAGGTAGAGTTTTAGTTGTCCGATTTTTCTTTTTTTTTCGAATGTGATCTCCAATTCAAAATTTGAGTACTGATTTCATTGGAAGTCGTGCCCTGAGAGTAGGTAATTTAAAAATAGAACGAAACTAAGTTTGTAATAATCCAGAGTGAGTAGCCGCCAAGCTTCGCATGGCCGCACATTGTGCACAGCCACATCAGAAGTCTTCGCAATACAATTTCCCATCTACGTACACAAAGCACACGGAGTGAAACCATAGTATCCAGTTAGGCAATTAATTACAAGTGTCATTAATAGACAATAACCGCATTTTTTTGAGTTAGACTTGCTCGTTTGTAAGTGTTTGTAATAACCGAATGGGCGTCGTAGAAACCGCGTTGTTATAAATATTTTGTAGCATTTTTTGACATTTATGTAAAGTTCACGTTTTGTTCTAAAATTCAAGATTGTTGATGCATTCTATTATTTTTACAAATCTTAACGTGCTATGCTTATGTCCAATCAATCTAGTGAATTATTATTGGAGTGAAAAAAATATGTGTTACAATTACGTATTTCAGCTGCTGCCTCATCCCCATTTACTACAGTGTAGTTTCTTCCAGTGGGTATTTAAGGAAATAAAAATCATTTCGTTTACTATAATAAATAAATATTTTTGGTTTATTTATCTTTTTATACAGTGTGCTCGAAACAAGAGGGTCACCTTATTTAGCGAGAATTTTTTAAGCCGCGTATATTGCATGTGTTTCAAGATCATGTACTTTAAGAGGGAGACGGTATTATTTTTTTTTTATTCTCCTTTAATTATACAATCTGCCATATGTAGCTTATTTAGCAATAAGTATTTTATAGGATTGAATTAATGATTACAAAATGACATATGGGACAGAATTCCAGCGAAGTCTCCCCTTACATTTTTAATATGTAATGTATGCTATGAAAATAATATAGGTATTTATTAGTGGTTTACTCATGATTTCGTTGTCAATTTAGAAAAATTATTTACTTGTTATAGCCAGGTTGCCGCTTTAGTAATGCAAGATAACTAATACCTGGCGACTTAGATAAGGAATGTGCAAAAAGATAAGTATTAAGTATGTAGCGTAGTGTTTTTTTGTTTTTCCTCGCCATAAAGTGCCGTATGAAAGTTAAGATCATGTTTTATCTAAAAAAACGTGTACACTATTACATTGATATTAGTAACAGATTTAAATTCAAGTAGGTATTAAAAAGGCGTGACGATTTGCGACGAAAATCTATCTATAGTTGCAGACGGTCACTCATCGACAATACACTTACTTTCGACGTCGACAATGTACTGGGTGGGGAAAACAATATCGGTACAGGAGATGGAAAATTGCAAAGGCAGATTGAATTTTATTCGCTAATCACCTCCTGATCCTGTAGATATGTAGTGTATTATTATTCATGTAGCCCAAACTAGTATCTCTAAAAGTAAAACAAGTGACAAACCAATTATGCAACCCATACCTGGGTGCAATTCTGAGGTTAAACGGTCACTTATAGCGAAAGAAAAACGCGTTTAAGTATTAATTTGATTAAAAAACTTGTCATGCAGATTAAAGCCATAACAGTGAAATGCATGGCGGTTATGAACATCTTAAAGGTGCTATCACATTCTAAATGGAGTGCAGACGTTCAGTGCTGCTGAACATAATATTACCTATTATATTGATATATTATAGATTATATTATATTACAGATCGACTATGCTATGGGGCCATCATTTATTCCTTGGTGCGTAAATGAGAGTGATTGACACTAGATCTGGAGAACAATATGGACATTAGATATTAGGTATTATATTAATACATTTTCTATTAAAACCTCAAAATGTGTCATTGTTTCCTGTGTGTCACTGTTCACATCTTTCTCCTTTTATTTGCGTGTTTAGGTTAGGGTGGCCCGTAAGCACTCTCATGTATGTGTACGTCTTGGTGTATTTTACTAATATTTGACGACCGCGAGAGAGTAACTCCGGAAGTTAGAATACAAAACGTATTGTAGAGCTACGACAGTAAAATAAACTGCGACTCTCGAAAATTCAACTGTAGCAATTAAGTTAAGTTAACCTATAGTCTCTCGTGTCCATGGCTGATATTGATATTCCATTCTTAACAGTATTATGCGTTTCACATGGGGTCGATGTCAGAGGGTATTACGAGACACAATTAGTAGTTACGGATGTCTGAGTTTTACACCAATGTCATTACGCGGGAACTGAAGTTAAAATGGGACCCCACAAGCACAATAGTTAGCTTATATTCATGTTTACAAATTCAAGATCAGTACAGAGTGAAAATCTGGTGGATCATTTTCGATGCACCACTTCTAATAACAAGTCTAAAGGGCCCCATATACGGAACGATCCGTCGTCACGATCGATCTGAATCGATATCGTGACGATAGATCGCCCAAAGCTTACCACTCACACACGAAACGATTGGTAGTTACGATCGATCGCTTACAACCGAACCATCGTGATTAAATAATTTAATACGTCATACGTGCCCAGTCGAATCGTTGATCGCAATGAGCCATACACTGTCGATCATCGTTACGATATTCACGATTGCATGCGTTTTTGTTGCGATGTCCGATATCCCATTCGATGAAGTAAATCGTTAACGATCTTGACATACACTATCGATCGGTCTGAAACGACGGATCGGACAGATCGATCGTACCGTGTATGGGGCCTTTTACATTTTTGTAAGATAGTGAACGCAAACGAATGTTACACACCACTTCAGGTTATACAATTGTATCTGCAATCTAGCTATGTAGTTTTAAACAGCCAAAATCATACAAATACCAATTCAGACTATTTTTCACTCAACGGTTTTTATTTATTGTTTGGTATACAAATACAAGCTTTTCTCTCGCATTTGTGCAAATCATGCATCTTAAAATGTTGTTGATTGTTGTTGTCCTATGCGGTGTTACTTCTGGTATGTAAACGACCAGATCCCATTAAGTACCTGAGACGAAAATCATATACGACTTGTCTAAGGAAGCCAAATTTACGAATTCGAACATATGCAGGGAAAAAGGAGACACGGTTTGGTTGAGCGGTTTTTGTTGCAACATTTAAAATTCTGTAATATTTGACCTGTTTGCGCATGCGTTTACCTAGTTTTTGGCTTATCTGTCAAAAAGCGATCGATTTGTCGTTATTAGAAGGAGCTACCATTACAGTTTAATGAAAACCATTTCTTAGAGATGATTTTTTAATTGAAATTGTTTATGTTTACCGGTATAACGCTGCAATTATTAATAAACTGGACGATTCAGTTCCTTCTTTCTGCGTGCTGCGGCTTAAACTTAAATTTGCAAATATGTACCTAGTCTGCATTTTTGTGGTTTTTTGAAGTCGCTAACTTGTTTGTAAACTAACATTTTTTCGCCGTGAATGAGACGGTCACAGTCACAGGGGTGATAATAAACTTCAGTTACGTCACCTAATGCTGTGACTGATCTCGAATCTCAACTATAGGCTAGGAATTCCCATACGAGGGTCCATTGTTACCTGCTCCAGAGGCGGAACTTTGCTAACACAAGAACTCTTCGGTTTAGCATCTATGTGTGACATATGTATAAGTTGCAATTCCCTCACTTCCACATATTTTTTTGTTATAGCTTGATTTTATTGCCCCAAAGATGAGTTACATCTTACATCCTATGCAGTTCACCCTTTTCCACAATTTGTGTCAGAGCCGGCTTTAGGCGTAAGCGGTGTAACCCGTCGCTTACGCCGCAGACAAGAAGGGGCGCAAAAATTACTCTTGTTTAATGACTGACGGACCAAAGACGTAAAAATCCGTACACGGGAAGCATACTCATAAATA